TTTTCTTTTTGAGACAGGGTCTTGCTATGATTCAGTCTGGCCTTGAGCTCACTTTGTAGCCCAGGCTGGTCTCAAACTCACAATGATCCTCTTGCCTCAGCCTCCCGAGTCCTGGGATTAAGGCGTGTATCACCATGCCCAGCTGAGACCTTATTTTTGAACATAAAGTTTAAGTTGCTATTTATTTTCATTCAATCTTAGTGCCTTTGTATGTAAAATAAGAATGTGTATCACTACCTCAGATTCTTAGAGAATTAAATAAGGCAATTATTTTCGTATGTTTACTGATACATAGTGTGTTTTGTACTTAGGTGGCAGATGATATAAAGGAAGCACTGGGACTTGTCAGACATAGAAGAATTAGAAAATGGCACAACCATGCTTGTTACATAAAAAACATGAACCAGAACTGCACAGTGCAAAAGAAACTAAGCCAAAGGATGATGAAGATGCCGAGCTGATCTTTGTTGGGGTGGAACATGTAAGTGACGATGCTGAGCTCATCTTTGTTGGAGAAACATCAGATTCAAAACCAGTTATTTCAAACATTTTGAACAGAGTCACCCCGGGTTCTTATTCAAGAAGAAAAAAGTATGGTCGTTTCAGAAAAAATACTGCTCAAAGATTGCAGCCTGCAAGTCATGTGACCTCTCCATCAGAAACAGTGACTGTCTTGTCAGAGTCTCCATCTGAATCAAGATCAACAGATAGTCCTATCATTATTGAGCCTTTGTCTGACCTTGATGATGACAATGATTCTTCACAAGTTGTGCCTAGTAGTTCCTCAGAGTTCAATTCTCCTGTGGTTGCATCAGCAAGTCCGTTGCAGCATCCAGTACCGACAGTGCTTTTAGTAGAAGATACAAATGACAGTCCGCCTGTATCAAAGCGATGTTCTACTTCTGAAGTAAGTAGCATAAATCCTAAAAGTGCTAAACTAAGTGATGGGATGGCAGGAGGAATTTCTTCAGCTTTGTCTACTTCAGATGATTCTCATACAGTGACACTTCAGCAAAGTACGCTCTCAAGCGATGTTGCTACTTCCTTAAGCTGTATTCAGAATATAGCGTCTTTTCCAGCAGTTTTTCCAAAGGACAATGTCCAGTTCAAGCCTACAAATATAAATCCTGATATGGAAAATGGATTGGCGAAAATTTCAAGTCTAGCAAGTCAAAATAAGACCTGTGATCCCAAGAAAGGAAGTCTGATCCTGTTACTTAGTGACTTTTACTATGGACAACACAAAGGAGATGGGCGGCACGAAGCTAAGACTCACTCGACCTTTAAGTGCCTCAGCTGCTTGAAAGTTCTGAAAAATGTTAAGTTTATGAACCACATGAAACACCATTTCGAACTTGAGAGGCAGAAGGGGGATAGCTGGGAAAAGCACACCACCTGCCAGCACTGCTATCGGCAGTTTCCCACCCCCTTCCAGTTGCAGCGTCATATTACAACTGTACACACTGCAGAGGAGCTCTCTGCTGTCTGTAAGATCTGTGAGTTGTCATTTGAAACAGATCAGGCTCTTCTACAGCACATGAAGGACAATCATAAACCTGGAGAAATGCCCTACGTGTGCCAGGTTTGCAATTACAGGTCATCGGCCTTTGCTGACGTGGAAACACATTTTAGAGTGTGCCATGAAAACACCAAGAATTTACTGTGTCTGTTTTGTCTCAAAATTTTCAAAACTGCAGCACCATATGAGTGTCACTGTAAGCGACACTGGGGAAAGAGTGTTAACCAGTGTTCTAAATGTCGGCTTCAGTTTTTAACCTTTAAGGAGAAAATGGAGCATAAGACCCGGTGTCATCAGATGTTTAAAAAGCCAAAACAGCTAGAAGGATTGCCTCCTGAGACAAAAGTTGTTGTCCAGGTGTCACTAGAACCTAGCCTACCGGGCTCAGTGAAGGTAGCATCCATTACAGTGAGCACCATTGAGTATGAATCCACTCCCCTCAGGTCTAAGAGCAAAATTTCCAAAAAAGTCCATTAATTTTATTGTTTTTAAAACCAAAACTAAAGTGTTCAATCCAAAGCAAAAACCCCTATAAAAACACAGGGCCGGGGAGATGGCTCAGTGGAATAAGTGCTTCTCTGGCAAGTGCAAGGGCCTGAGTTCAATCCCTGGTTCCGACAAAAAAAAAGAAAAAAGAAAAAACCCACAAATCATAAATTATTCAGTAGCACCAGAAATAGATACAGATGAATTGAGATTTTTTAAAAATTCATGGTAATGAACTTTTTATTTTTTGAGACAGGATCTCACTGTGAACTCAGTATAGCACAGGCTAGCCTCAAACTCATAGCAATCCTCCAGCCACAGCCTGTGAGGAGGAGGACAGTTTTGTTTTGTATGTTTTCTTTGTTTGATGCTGGGAATAAACCCAGGACTTCACATGTTGGCAAAGTGCTCTACTACTGAGCCACATTTGTGGCTCCTACAGTATTTTCTGAATCTTGAGGTATTATTTAAAATATATTGCCTAGTTTTCATATTAACTGTCTGTCTGCATGCATGCTAGGTGTTTTTGTGTATATGTTTGAGTTGAGAAAACAAGTGAAAACTTATTTATTATTTGGTATTCATATTATTTTGAAAACTTCTGTATATAGAATTTGTAGTTTTTGAAGTATTTAATTTTATTTTCTACTTTTTCTGTGGTATTACAGATTTTTTATAAACCCCGCTGAGATGAAAATGGCTTTGTTATGTCCTGGGCCATGAGCCCTCAGATGTACCTCTGTTATGCCAGCATAAGGCAGCCTGGTTCTGAAATATTGTATGTGGATTTAAAGAAGCTGTGGCATGATTGGAGACCAGGAGGGCGGAGGTTGACTAGGGAAGATCAGTGGTTCCTTGTCCCAGTTGATAAGAAGGACACATATCATGCAGTCATGGACCTGAGGTAGAAAACTACCTCGGAGTGTCTTGACCTAACAAAAGGGTGTCCAGGGGGGCTGGGGAGATGGCTCAGTAGAATAAGTGCTTCCCTGGCAAGCGCAAGGAACCCCTGGTTCTGCCAAGGGAAAAAAAAAAAAAAAAAAAAAAAACGGCATCCAGGGCATCCAGGGATGCAAAAGTGATTCTACCAGAATGCCTACATTTGCTGACGCACACTTTGGATTCAAACAGCTGCTGTATTTCCTTAGCTTCATGTGAAAAAGCAGCAGTAATTCCGTTAAATGCTCTAAAGGGAAATTGGGTTCATTCTGTCTCCTTTTCCTTTGTCCAGACACTAGTGGAGTGCGAAGTGGCCACATGCCTCTTAATCACCCGGTGAAGCATGCTACATTTCCCAAGAGAAAGAAGCCTTAGCATCCAGAGTGTGAACTGTCCTGGACCCATAGCTTTAACTGGAAAGGACCATACAAATGGTGTCTTTTAATTAATAGACTGGGCTAAGTGTAGTTCTCCCGCTGCTAAGCTGGCATGGGGCTTGTCCAAGAACAGGTACAGTGAACAGAAATAGACCAGGCACACTGGTTAAAATTAAATCCATTGCAGGGCTTTCCTTCTGTTTTTTAGTACTTGTGTATTTTATTCTAGTTGAACATATGATGCTTGGAGTTTTTTATTTTGCCCTGGGCATGAGTATATTACAGTCAATAATTTATAGGGTTTTTTCTTTTCTTTTTTTATGTATTTGATACAGGGTCTTACTACACAGCTTAGACTCATAGTGATCCTCCTATTTTTAGCCTCCCCAGTGCTGGGATTATAGGCGTGCACCACCATGTCTGGTCTTGGTGGCCAGCTCAGCAGGCCTATGGGCTGGGCCAGCTCCAGCTCAGACTGTGGTGCTGGGGATTGAACGGTGGTCTTTGTGCTTGCCTAAGCAGGCACTTAATCTGCTGAGCTATTTCGCCAGCCCAGTTTTTTCTTTTGTGTACATGTGATTTTCCAGTTGATCACACTTGCACCATTTGAGTCTTACTTGAAGCACTCTAGTGTGCAAGAAATGTTCTGTCCACTGGTAGCTTTAAGACTTAAGTATAAAGTTTTAGAGTTAATATCCTTCGTGTAATATGTAGTTATTTATCTTGTCATTGTGTCATAGAGGAACCTGTTTTCCTTGCCTTCCCCAGGGGCTTTCCCGCAGAACTGTGGCATACCCTCTGAGTATTGATTCCTAAACATTGGTGAGCTTCGAATGCTTCTGTGAGTCCTCAGGGTTGTTTTCCTGGGTTTACAGTACTATTCTTTGTTCCTCTGCCCTCAGCCTAGGTGCCTATCAGTCAAGAAATCTAGTATCCTGGCTATAGACATAGATCTGGAGAAACACTTTTTAATGTTTTTTTCATTTCTTCTTAAATGTACCTTATTGTCTCTCTTCTCTTCTGTTTATCTGGTTATATTTTCTAAGCTTTCACAAAAAATGATAATTATAGTTGGGTGTGGTAGTACACACCTGTAATCCCAGTGCTTGGAAGGCTGAGGCAGGAGGATTACCACAAGTTTGAGGCCAGCTTGGCTACATAATAAGTTCAAGTCCATCCTGCACTACACAATGTGACCCTGTCTCCAAAGGAAAAAAAAAAAAAAGTGGAGCTACAGATAGTACATTCTGTTGTATGTATGTTTCCATGATTGATGGTCAGTTGACTTGCACCTTGAACATTTTGCTGGGCCTTTTCACTTCGATTACTTGGGCCACAGCATGTTGTTAAGATTTTACACTGAATACATTTTCTAGATTTAGGAAATGGTTTGTGTGTGTGTGTGTGTGTGTGTGTGTGTGTGTGTGTATTCAGTTTTTCTGGTGAAAGCTCCCATGTATGTATAAATATACACATTTTGGTGTACTCTGTTCTTATGGTAAAAATGAAATGTCTCAGTTCCATGCTTTAGTGATGCTTAGTAGCTTAGCAGTATTAATACAACCACTATTGTTTGCTGTTTCACTAAAGCATGTTCCTGAGGAGTAGAAATTGTCAGTTATTGTCAGCTACAAGTTCCAGCAGTCTCTCCCTTGCTACCTCTACTCCCATCTTCTGCCACATCTTCCTCGTCACTGCACTGTTTCGGCATACTAGCCGTGTCATTCCTCAAGTAGCGTGCTTTTCCTGGTCCAAAGGTTGCCCATGCTATTCTTATTTTTTCAGAGTGCTTTTTCCCTAGGCCTGCATGGCTCGCTACCTCACTTAATTGCTTGACACTTTCTTTGATTCATTGAGGTTTACAAATGTTAGAATAACTAAAAATATGCCCTGCTTAAAGAAACACATAGCTTACTCCTCCCTAAAAGCACTTTACCTCCCCATAGTCCTTCCCTCTCCGATCTGGCTAAATTTCCTAGATTTTCATGAAAAGCTAGGAAAGTATCATCCTCAAGGGCTTCGCTTCTGTCTTAGAATTGAGCTAGCGTAAGTCAAGTTCTGTGCCTGCAGCTAAAAGAAAATAATATAGTGAAGCAAGTCTTTCAGGAGCTTTCTGTTTTTCTATTGATAGTTTTATATTTTTTTAAGGCAATGTCAGCTTGTATTGTTTACAAATATATTGAATATCTGTCCAGATTACTATTTTATATTTTGTGAATTTCCTTGTCTATTTTGCTCGCTTGTTCTTTCAGATAAAATTTATTAATGTTGCCAAAAGTAAATAAAATAGCAATTATATTAATAAAATGTTTTATGAAAAAATGTTCCTGCTGTATTTTCTTTTTGCCAATAACATGATGCATTTTTAGTTTTGTTAGTTACCTCCTGCTGGTTGCATTCTTTAGTCTTACTTCATTGGCCAGGACTTCTAAACAATGAAACATACAATGGATTATGGGGTTTTCTTTTTAATAAGAAATGGTTTACTATTAAAGTTAATGTGGGGCTGGTGAGATGGCTCAGTGGTCTAAAGCACCTACTAAGAACAAGCTTAGTAAAGCACAGGGACCGCGGTTCAATCCCCCAGCACCACATGCCAGCCAGCCCGCCCCCTGGTGGGCTGAGCTGGCCACACACACACACACACACACA